CCCCCCCCCCACCAGGCCCCCACTGCGGCTGCCTGCGAGTGACACCTCCCCCCCCCACAGTGACAGGTTGTGTCTGGCCCCGAGCCAGCCTGCTCCGGGAAGGGTTCGGAGCCCCCTTCTCACGGGCTGAATGGCGCCGTTGGCGAACGAGGCCTGAACGTTGGCGTGGGCTCAGTCAACCAATGGAGGGTCCCTGCCCCACAACCCAGAGGTCTCCCATGGGCCAAGCAGAGCCAGTCGTCCCCTCGCTGCGCGGGTCCCGGCTGCCAGCCTCTCTGTGAAGGGTGTGCATGCCTGGGATACAGCAGTACCATGGGCTGCCCGATCCCGTGCACCACCCTGGGCCCTGCAGCTGCCCCCAGTGGTGGATTAGCCCATGCACAGGGGCCCCAGCCAATTGGGGGGCCCTGGAAAAATGGACGCCCCGACCCCGCTCCCCGGCTGGAGCCCCAGGCGGGGCGGAGGAGGCTGCAGGCAGAAGGGGTGGAGAGGGGTCCTCACTTGCTCTGGCCCAGGGCCCCACAACCCCCTAATCTGCCCCCTGGGGTGGGGTAGGGGCTGCAGCTGTCTGGGTGAAGGGCAGGGCTCTGGCCATGAGCCCTGAACACCTGCCCAGGTTTGGGCAGCGGTGAGGGGCCCGAGTGCGAAGCTGGGGGGGGTGAGCCCTCCAGGAGCACGCGCCTGCCCAGACGGCGGCTGTCCTCCCCCACCCCCCGGTGGCTGCACTTCAGTGGGGAGGGGTGGGTGGCAAACCCCGGAGAAAGGTGCTGTCTGGGGAAGTGGCCGTTCTGGAGGAGACCCCGGGCCAGCGTCTCCCTCAGCAGCAGGCTGAGCAGCTGTGGTGCTCACCCACCAGGTGACATCCTGCCAGCAGTAGCCGAGCCGCTCGCAGCCGCCTTGCCAGCAGCATCAGCAAACAGGGCTGCCTGCCACCCTCTGCACCCGAGGGACTGGGGGTTAGTCCCTGGCACCAGGCGCCCGGTCTCGATTCACCGCGGCAGGGCCCGGGCGCTGCCAAGTCAAGGCAAAGCTACTGAGCGTGGGGTTCCTTCCTCTGCCTGGAGACAGGGCTGGGGAGGGGAGGGGCAGGGGGTTGGTCCCAGCCCTTCGCCTGCCCTTCCCCTTCTGCTGCAGCAAAGGGGCGCAGCCTGGGGAGGGAGGACCCTGGCCCGCGGGGCTGTGACAGGCCGTGGAGCTGCTATGGGGTTGTGTGCTGCGTGGCTCTAAGAGGCGTGGAAGCAGGATGCGAAATGCCGGGGGGAAGTGAGTCTGCATCTGCAGTTGGGGTGGGGGGGTGTTTGCCGTGCGGGGCAGCCTCAGGATTTCATCTCTGCGCGATTGTCTCCCGCTTTCTCCTCTTTAAGCACGGCTCTGCCCCCCCGCCCAGTGCCCC